TTATTTTTATTTTTTTATGTGTATGAGTGTATTGCCTGCATGTATGCGAGTGCACCTGTGTTGTGCAATGCCAAGGAGGTCAGAAGAGGGCTTTGGATTCCCCTGGAACTGGAGTTAAGGATGGTTCATAGCTGCCATGTGGGTGCTGGGAATCAAACCCCAGTCCTCTGCAAGAGCAGTCAGTGCTCTTAACCGCTGAGCCATCTCTCCAGCCCCTATTATTATTTTTATTTTATGTGTGAATGTATTGCCTGCATGTATGTAAGTGCACCTCATCATGCAATGCCTGTGAAGGCCAGAAAGGGGCATCAGATCCCCTGAAACGGGAGTTACAGACAGTTGTTAGCTGCCATGTATGTGCTAGGAACTGAACCTGGGTCCCCTGCAAGAACAGCCAGTGTTCTTAACCGCTGAGGCAGTTCTCCAGACACAGGCCTTTCCTTTTGACACAGGGTCCTGGGTAGCCCAACCTGGCCTTGAACTTTTTTTTTTTTTTTTGGTCTTTTTGAGACAGGGTCTCCCTGTAGCCCCAGCTGGCCTGGAACTCAATATGTAAACCAGACTGGCCTCGAACTCACAAAGATCTACCTGTCTCTGCCTCACACTGAGTACTGGAATTAAAGCCTGTACCACCACGCCCAGCTCTGGCCTTGAACTTGTAAAGCAGACAAGAGTGACCTTGAACTTGTGATCCTTCTGCCTCCACCTCCCAAGTGCTCTGATGACCAGTATGCACCACTACCCTGGCTATGTGCAAGCTAGGCAAGGGCTCTACCCAGTGAGCCCCATCTCCAGCCCACAGGGGCTTTTTAAAAATGATGACAGAGAGGCTGGAGATATGGCTTTATGGGTAACAGCACTGGCTGCTCTTGCAGAGGAACAGGTACAGTTCCCAGAACCGACATGACTGCTAACAACCATCTGTAACTCCCGTTCCAGGGGATCCTACAGCGTCCTCAGACTGCATGAGCATGGTGCACTTACATACATGCAGGCAAAATATTCATACACGTAAAATAAAAATAAATAAATGTTTCTAAAATTTCAAAAATTGAGCTAGGTCCCTTTCCTAGGAAGCACCTCCCTCCCAACAGGTCATCCCTTTCCCCTTCTAGGAATTACCACCCCCAGCAGCTCCACCCCTGCTGGGGAAGCCTTGCCCGCTCAGCCGCCCCGCCCCTCTCCTAGGAAGCACCGCCTCCTCCTAGTGAGCGCCACTCCCTGTAGCTCCGCCCCTTCTGCAGCTCCTCTCTCGCAGGAAGCACCGCCCACTGGAGCTCCGCCCCCTAGCCGCCCCTTCGGGACTGCCCTGCAAAGCGGAGCGCCAATCGTGGACGCCTGCGCCCCTGGAGGTCGTGCTTGGAAGTGCGGCCTCAAATGTTGCGCTCTGAGAGCCGCTCAGGCAGCTGCAGCTTCTGCTCCTGGACCCAGCGATACCCTGGCCACAACCATCCCGGTGTGTCCAGGGCCTCCAGAGCCGATGCCTGTGTGTCGGTGGGAGGAAATAAAGCAGAGATGATTCCTCCTCACCTCGTCCCAAATCCACCCCTCCACTGAAAAGGAAAAGATCATGAGCATTCTAAATAAAAGATGTTTGCAAAAAGCATGCCGAAAATCAGAGAGCTATTCCTTAGGGTTTAAAGGTTCTAGGAAACAGACCCTCTGACATGACACTTCATAACTATTACAGAGCCAGACCAGTGTATCCGTAACAGAACTAGCCGGGTGTGGTGGCCATGTCTGTTATCTTGCTAGTTGGGAGGCTGAACTACGAGGATTGCCACGAGTTCCTGGCCAACCAAGGTTAGTGAGACGATGTCTTAAAAAAAAAAAAAAAAAAAAAAAAAAAAACAAAAAACAAAAAAAAAAAACGCCTTATAAGAAGATCAAACAAGGTAAGAGTGGTGGCACATGACTTTAACCTCAGCACTCAGGAGGCAGAAGCAAGTGTATCTCTCAGGTTTCAAGGCTAGCCTGATCTATATATCGATCAGATAAGCTGGAGCTACAGGGAAAGCCTGTCACAAAACAAACAAAACTTATAAAATACCAAACAAGCACTTGGGAGGCAGAGGCAGGCAGATCTCTGTGAGTTCAAGGTCAGCCTGACCTACC